ATCCATCCTATCTCTTCTTATCTCTCCCTCCACCCTCTGTTGCCTCACACGTTGGTGGGCAAGCTACATATTTAAGAGACCAATCAGGGTTAATGATGTGAAAATGTCAGCTGCACGGCTGGGGGAAGCACAGAAGTCATCAGTAAAGGTCGGCTGGATCACAGGCTGCAAATTCAAGATTGTTCTGAGCCTGCAGTTTTCAAAGCAGGGGTTAAAAAACCCTCATTACTGAAGTTTGGTAGATTTTTTTGACTACCAGTAATTCCTCTTTTACTTAGCTTACCGTTTTGCTGTTACAAAGAAAAATGTGTTTAAATGATCACGAGGCTGTTAAAATAAATCTTTAATGTATACAGGATTTACAAATGTAATATAGCAGCATACACCCCTATGCTTTGGAACGCTATAGTTGAGTGATGTCTACCTGAGCAGAACATTCTGAAGTCACACTTCCTCTGCGCGTGTTTTAATCCTAATTTTCTCAGTACTTTATCACATTGCCTGCTGCTCGTGCATGTGAGTCCTTGTGTGGCTACCCCCTGAGACTAGCTAATAACCCCTGCTTGGCATTGCGCTAATATGGAGTATACCGCTGAGATTGCCGCCCTGACTTTCTGCGTATCCACTTAGGCTAACAATGTTAGCTCCTTAATAAATGACCTTTAAAGTGTGAAAGTATAAAACACAACACATACTGTAACACATTTTCCTCACAAAGACAAAACGTTGAATTGAAAAGCAATGTAACGTATCTTTCCCTCATTCAATATACAGAGGGATTCAATGCTATCAGCAGACTTTCTCTGGTATTGGAGAGCGTCACTATATTAGGGCTGGTAGATGTCATCTTGTTAAAATGTTAAGGATAGTAAATAAGTAACTTAGTAACCTTTAAATCAAACTAACTCTTCTAAGAGCTGCTTTTGTACCTATCCTTTTTGAAGTCTTTGATGGAACATATTCCTGTCTTCCTTTGCACAACGATCTGCACAAAATCGGACACATGGTGCTATGGTGGTGTTTGTCATCAACTGTAATCTGAAAAAGGTGTGTGTGTGTGTGTGTGTGTGTGTGTGTGTGTGTGTGTGTGTGTGTGTGTGTGTGTGTGTGTGTGTGTGTGTGTGTGTGTGTGTGTGTGTGTGTGTGTGTGTGTGTGTGTGTGTGTGTGTGTGTGTGTGTGTGTGTGTGTGTGTGTGGTGTGTGTGTGTGTGTGTGTGTGTGTGTGTGTGTGTGTGTGTGTGTGTGTGTGTGTGTGTGTGTGTGTGTGTGTGTGTGTGTGTGTGTGTGTGTGTGTGTGTGTGTGTGTGTGTGTGTGTGTGTGTGTGTGTGTGTGTGTGTGTGTGTGTGTGTGTGTGTGTGTGTGTGTGTGTGTGTCCGTCCATCCTGCCAATAGAGTTGACTCATGGGGTCTTTTGAGAGCCGTTTCCGTTAAGACCACCACTTTCTATGACTGAGAGGAAGAAGCTGTCTCTGCAGGACCGTCCAGCATCTTCACTCACTGACACCAACAGTCATGGTCTGACAGCGAGGAAGTCTCTATTTGTAATTGTGGTAAGGGCAGAAGAAGCACAAAGTCAGAGACCATATATTGTCAACATGAGGACCCTGCACATCTTTCAGTTCTCTTTAAACATAATGATGTCCAAATGACAGTTGGTAGATTAAAAATAAAGAAATAAGTAGGCTAATCTTTATTTGAAAAGGCAATTTTAAAGCATTGCAAATTAATTTGGTTGATTAAAAATGAAATTCACTGACAGAAAGTTGATCTGCAAAATCCTTCTGTTGCCAAAAATTGCCTAGTTAATGCTTCTGTGAAGATTTAACATTAAAGTTTTTCCAGGGTTTGGACAGTCAGTTCGTAGACTTAAAAATCAACATTTGAAAAACATTACCTGCAGTTATTTCCGAGGGAGAAAAGAAGAACAGGAAATAACAAGATGATGTCTACAAACATTCACATGAAGTTAATAAACCACAACCTATATACAGTTCTACCATCATGTAAAAGCCAAACACCACAAGATGTTTTTTTAACTTGCCTGCTGACTGCTTGCTGACATTAGACCTGACTCATGGTTGGCCCTTCATGTCGCTCTTCACCTGCCGTCCACTCGACCTTCCCTTTAAGTTTGACATTGACATCAGGACAGCAGAAAGCTTACACATCTTCCGGCGCAGACTGAAAACTCATCTCTTTCGACTCCACTTTGAGCAATAAAATGAAAAAGAAATTTAAATAAAATAAAATAAAAAGCACTTATATACTAACTAAGCACTCATATACTAACAAAGGACTGGCTTATCTAAAGCCAGTTGAGTAGCACTTAAAATGGTTTGCCTCTATGAAACCTAATGTACTTATATGATTCTGTTTTCTTCAAGTTTGTATCTTCTTGGTCGAATGAACTTATTGTAAGTCACTTTGGATAAAAGCGTCAGCTAAATGTAATGTAATGTAATGATCAGCTGGAGGATGCCAAAGACAACTTAGTACCTCTATAACAGCAAAAGCCAGAGTGCCCTTTTCTTACGATATACAGTTTGAATGCATAACAGAAACCATGACAATGTCTTGCACATTTCCCAACCTTTTCATCCAGACCTTCAGGCATTGATGGTGGATAATGTCTGAATTAATTGGTGTTTCATGAGTTTGACGTGTGTTAAAAGGGTCTGTATATTCAAGAGTAATTACGTGTTGATTACATTTTCGGTTTTCCAATTGCGGAACAAGTGGTCCGATTGAATGAATGGTTGCATCTTAAAACTCTGTGTCATCTTATATTATCCAAAACTGTCAAGAATACATCCGGTTGCATCTCTTTCTTAAGTGCCCTAGAAAACTAAACTGAACTAGAAGGGCAGAGCGCAGACCTGCATGAAAAATCAGTTTCCATAAATTATAAATAATGCGTATGATCGTAAAAATTCAGACATTTTGAGCCTGTCCCCAGCCTAATGTGTATCAACAGATCATAACCCACCTCTTTGATCTAAATAGCCCCTTTTTCATAATCCAAGCCTATTTCATGTGTGACCTGAGAGGTGAAAGCAGCAGCAGCAGCAGCAACAACCTGACATGGTGACAGGAGGGAGGTTGTGAATGAATAATATTAATAGAGACACAACTTTTTGGCTTCTCTTAGTAATGACAGATTTTTGATTGATCAAATTTGCACAACAAAAGAGGCGTGACAAACATTAAGCTGGTATCTGTCTGGTCATAGGAGAAAGGGACAGATGGCCTCTGATAAAGACCTAAGGTGGGGGGTGTAGCCGGGGGGGGCTATTGTTACACCATTTCAAGGCATCTGTTCTTCTCTTTTATTCAGATTGCCCCCCCCCCCCCCCCCACACACTCTTTCATGTCTAAAATGATGCAAACTCTTCATCTTGCACCACCATGTTGTTTATTTCCTTCATGAGGCTCACACTCTGTATATTTGAAAACATAAACTTATTATCAGAGTGGATTCCTCTGTCGCCCCCCAGTGGTGTGGAGTGTGATTGTTACATCCTGTACGTGGCATCACTGTGGGGTGTGTACTTTTGGGAAAGAAAGGGTGAAAAAAACAGCTTTTATTTCAAAGAGCATTTAAGCTCTGCGGCCCACATAATGTATGAGCCGGACACACACACACACACGCACGCGCACGCACACGCACTCACACACACCACCATCACATCTGGAAGCAATCCACTGCAACCTCTGCCATGAAATGTACCTCATTCACCTCTACACACGCACACGCACACGCACACGCGCACACACACACACAACCACCACATCCTTTACATTACTGTCTAGACGAGATCTTCTCAATTTCAGCTAGGACTCATAGGTATCTGTTGGGGATTTACTTTAATCACCAAACAAAACCAATCCATTCATTAATGTAAAACATGTAACATTATTCAAGGTAATGTTTGATATTTTAGTAAATATGCTAATTTGCTTTTTTGCTTAATACAACTCACACTGTACATTTATAAATATAAAATTATCATTTTATATATTGTTATTGCATACATTTCTCCTTTAACTTATGATTCAAAAGTATAAATTGTTATCCCAAATTACTATTACTTTTAAAACATGCCTATAGTTTAGATAAAATAGACTTAAAAATAAAAAAAGAAGGAAAATACCATTATGATCATATTAGCTATAGCATTGACCCGAGGACCCCTTGTCTCATTTGAGATGTTTACCAGTTTGAGCAGTTCCTATATAAAAACTAGAGAAAAGTACAGAAAATAAATATAGATTGGAGTAGCAAAACTCAGCTTTTTCTTCTTTTATCTAACAATAACAATTGTACACCCCCTCTGGTTTATCTATTTGTTTGTTGGAGGCTGACCATAGGTTAGAGACAGATTTAACTTCCTAAATGATAAAGTTATTATGTTACTATATACAGTTGTTAAAACATTAAACTACAACAGTGAAGTGTTTAAATCAGTCAATATCTCATGGAGCATTTGTTTGCAGGAAAAGTCATTTTACTTTTCTTTCAGTACGTGTGTCAGTCGATACTTTGGTTATTTTACTTAAGTAAAGTTTGTAAGATTATGTGAAACATGAAGAAAAGGATTCAATAAAAATGTCACCTTTTGGCTTAAGGCACTCACTGTAAACCTCTTGTCTAAACAACACACACACCCGTGCTCAGACTCAAGTTTATTTACTTGTTAATCTGATCAACTCTCTCCACAAGCCTGTACTTGTTTCTTTATCTGTTGTTTATTCTACAGCTTATTGGACCGTCAAGTTCACACTAGTTATTTTGTCACAAAACCTTACGTCTGTTGCTTCTCCCTGTGCATTTCTCTGTTGAGCATTTCTCTCGGTGTAGAGTAGAGATTTATTTTTCAACTGTCTGAGCTGGGGGAGGGAATCCATGTTGAATGAATGAGTTTCTTTTAGCCGTTCGCTTCTTCCATCCCTCCCTTGTTTCCTCCCTCAAATTGCCACTTCTCTCTTACTCCCGCTCTCCGTCACCCTCCCTCTCAGAGAGAATTCCTCTGTACCTGTCTGAACAGGGAGAGTCGGAGCGCTGCAGAGGAAAGAAAGAAAAAGAAAAGAAACGGAATCAAGAGAAGGAGAGTAGGAGGAACATAAGGCGCACATTTGAAGAGCACAAACCGGGTAGAGGTGTGTTTGAGACATTTCCAGAAAGGACACAGGGCGAAGGTTTATCGAGATCTCAAGGCTCCAAGTTGTGCTGTTTTTCTGATCCCTGCTGGACTGTTTTACAACTTTCTGAGACCAGTGGCTATTTTTGGTCTGTGAGTGTTGGAGCGGTTTGGGATGGATGCCATCATGCTGCAAGAAAAATTGGTGGAACGGCTGCTGTGCCCACGAGTGAGAACCGCCAGGCAGAAGGTAAAAACAATGGATTTCTAAGGGATAAATAGACAAAAAGAGTGGAACTCAATCAGGACAATTTAAAAATACAATGAAAAATATAGACAAAGAGTAGAGGATTACTTTATAAAAGCATAAGTGTAGAAGACCTTACTCCCCTGGATTCAATGCCAGCGTCTGTTGATGTAATCTCTGCTGTCTGTAGAGGTGCGTGTGTGATTCCTCGAGGGACAGATTTACTGTGCTTTTATAATTACTCACTGATTTATCTACAGATTTCCTCATTCTCTGGCTTTCTGACAAGTGTGTCTGCCATGAACTGGTTGCACAGCCTGAGTGTGTGTGTGTGTTTTTGTCAAAGTTATCCTCACCCTGGGGCGCTGTCGGAAATGCCTATGACAAGTTATGACAGTTCATGAGGACTCTGACTGTTTGCTTGGCTTGTGTGTTTGCCCAGTGAATAAGAGCTTTTCAGGTCTGTTGAATGTAGCTTCTGTTTGTGTGTGAATGCTCTCAATGGACCTCGAGTGTGTACTTTTACCCACACATGTCAACGGGCACTGTCGGGTAAAGATGACGTTGTGCCAGATGCAGCAGAGAGCTGCAGCACTGAGCCTCTCTGTGTGGAACAGCGAGAGACTGCTATCCTGTCGCTTATTGTGTTTCAGCGAGGCTTTAAGAGGAATAGTGAGGCGCTGGTTTATTCTCAGCTGCTTCAGAGGAATGCTGTGCACATGTTTTTCCATGCAGTTTTCTGTCTGTTGTGGTGATTTTTACTGCATCAGAGGCTGCCAGATACATTTTGTGTTCCCATTAGAAACCCTCTGACGCTCTTACACTTATTGGGTGTTATTTTGAAGCTGTTTTTGATGTTTTATTGTAGTCCTGAAACAATTAGTCAACTATTCAAGTAGTAAAACAATTCTGTTAAAAGTCCATAGAAAAATTGGTTAGTAAAAGGGCATTAGCTACAAAATATAGTAAAAGTAAAATGATTTATTATGTAGATGGTGCCATTTCTGAAAAATGTATATTTTATTATTGAATTGGAAATGGAATTACACAGTTTGATCTTATCTCAACCTTTATTATTATTACAGTATTATTCATCATTTGTCTGTTAAATATACCTTATTTTTATCTTCTGGATGACCTTAAGTTATCAAAAAGTAAAGTAAAATATACAATATTTGTTTAATTTATTAACAGAGCTGCCAATTCGTTTTTCTGTCAACCTACTTTTCCACTAATCAACTATTTGTTTGAACTCTACAATAAGCCGCACCCGTTCAGTGACTGATACTTTCTTTTACAAATCATGCATTAATACTCAACACCTTCTTCTTTGTCTTTCTGTCCCAGGAGAAACAGTATGTGGGTTTTGCCACTCTGCCAAACCAGGTCCACAGGAAGTCTGTGAAGAAAGGCTTCGATTTCACACTGATGGTGGCAGGTCAGTAACTGGAGATGCAATTTAAGATGTCATTTATAAACTGGCAAATTAACCTAATACTTAAATGATATCATATTATTAAATATGTCTGTCTGCAGGCGAGTCGGGGATGGGTAAATCCACTCTGGTTAACAGCCTGTTCCTCACCGACCTCTACAAAGACAGGAAGTTACTGAATGCTGAAGGTGAGTTTATATGCTATTCATTATGCCTCTGCATCATAATGAATGCACTGTTCGATCAATACAAGCACTCTGAGGTCTGGTACTTATGTCAATAAACGTAGGTATGTATAAACTAGCCCACAGTGTATCTCACATTTACATATCAGCTGCACTGAAGAGGTTTAAAGCGACACAGATAAGTCCTGTGAACCCGTCGCTACTTATATCTATGGCCATTCATTTGTGATCAATATATTATTTTGTTTGGTATTTATATGTGCAAACTAAATGTAATCATTTCAGTGATACGGAAATGTCAGATCACACAAAATTACCAACATTAAAGTTCAAAATGTAATGTTAAATGACCCTGGGAAACATAATTCATAACAACATGTCAGATGTGTTGGACAGCTAACATCGGTTTTACTAGTTACAGTAGTTCAGTTTGCTAGGCAACAGTTACACATGCCTGATGCTGACAGAAAGTAAATATTCATTCATTCTCTACGCAGTAACTAGTTTGTGTGGTGCAACAGGCTACATTTAGTTAAGTGAAAACTGTGATGGAAACTTCTGAAGCAATGGAGACAGGACTCAGAGAGACACGGGGAGAGCAGGAACTTTGATGGCAAACACTGATGGTTTATTTGGAGCTTCGGCCGGAGAATTCACAAGACATGTGCTGTGCCACGAGTGGAAACAGCGGATGGCAAACAAATTCTGAAGATCTCTACCCCAGACCCATGTATTTAGCTAGTTCTGAGAGAATAATCAACATGCTGCATAACAAGATAAAACAGACAAAGCACAATAACACCTCTATCAGCTGATGCCACAGGGAGACAAAACACTGAGAGCACAGCAGCTCAAGGTTGCAGGCCTGTGCTCATAAGGGCAGTACAAACTGATAAACTGGGTCAAAGTCATGGGCCCAGAAAAAATATTCTCCCCAACAAAAACCACAGACTGTATAAAACACATTTTTAATGGGTTACAATTAAAAATTACAGAACAACTGATGCATCAGGCTCACAGGCACAAAATGATTAAGCCTTGTTTTGTAAATGTTAGTAAAAGTGTGAACTGGCTATGGGGTTTGTCCTCTATAAAATATTGAGGCTCTGTTTTTTTTATATCAAATGAATCAATATGTTGATAAATCATGCCACTGTTGCTAGAGGCAGAAAAACAAAGATGTTTTCCTTCATTTGTCTCATTCTCCTTCTCTGTGTGGGTGCTTTGCAGAGCGGATAAACCAGACTGTGGAGATCATCAAACACACTGTGGACATCGAGGAGAAAGGAGTCAAGCTCAAGCTGACCATCGTCGACACGCCGGGGTTCGGAGACGCCGTCAACAACAACGAGTGGTGAGCTGGGAGACCTGCTGCTCTGACACTGCCTCATTCAGCCTGCAAGCTACAATTCACAGTCTGTGTTGTGTGTGTGTGTGTGTGTGTGTGTGTGTGTGTGTGTCTGTGTGTGTGTGTCCTAGCTGGAAGCCAATCACTGACTACATAGATCAGCAGTTTGAGCAATACTTCAGGGATGAGAGCGGACTGAACAGAAAGAACATCCAGGACAACAGAGTCCACTGCTGCCTCTACTTCATCCCTCCATTTGGGCACGGGTAATTACACACACACACACACACACACACACACACACACACACACACACACACACACACACACACACACACACACACACACACACACACACACACACACACACACACACACAGATACACACACGCCTTTTTCATTATTGGTGCAGGAAACATCTTTTCTACCTGCGTATTTTCTGCACGGCATCATCGCTTTAAGGTGTCTTGATTAGGGAAATGTACTCTCGCTGTACTTGACGCTGGATTCCTCTCCGCAGACTGCGTCCGGTCGATGTCGAGTTCATGAAGGCTCTACATGAAAAAGTGAACATAATCCCACTCATCGCGAAAGCCGACTGCCTCACGCCCAACGAGATAAAGAAGCTCAAAGACAGAGTGAGTCTCCGAGCTGCAGCTCCACAGTGAATTCAGCATGTTAAACTGTATGCAGATCATTCACTGTGACCATTACTCTGATTTATCTTTAGATACGAGAGGAAATAGACAAGTTTGGGATTAAGGTGTACCAGTTCCCTGAATGCGACTCTGATGAGGATGAAGAGTTTAAACAGCTTGACAAAGAGCTGAAGGTGAGTCCAGTTCATGAACGCATTCATTCTTCATGGAATTAGCTGTACCTCTAAACACAGATTAAGGTCATTTACACAGAAAAGTTTTAGGACCAGGCATGCTGGGAAAAAAATATTTCAATCTTTGATTTTGGGATGAGTAAATGTCTAGACTCCTCAAATGTTCTCATGCCGGTCGCTCTTCAGTACCCCCCTTCTCTGGAGTTTACAGAATCACTTTTTGTCACTCAGAGCCAAAGCCAGGATTTTACAGATACAGTACTGGAGAACACACCCTCTCTTAAAGAATACTGACAACACTATTTATTTGTTTGCTGTATGTTTAATGTGTTTAGCTGTATGGTTAGTTTTTCTGTAAATCATATTTCCCAACATAAATGCCTCTATTGCTGTTTTAAAGTAATCTTTTTCATGACTGGGAATAAATCCTGGTGTGGACATACTTGATCAAAAACTCCCCAAATATGTTAAACAGGACCTCAGTGTTCACTCACTCACTCCTCTTTGGAAGTCTAGTCATCATTAATGTTAGTTTCACTTCTCTATATATCCTCCCTTCTAATCCTGATCTACTTACTGACATTAAAGCCCTGTCAATGACCCTAACATGACGTGTCGGAGCATTGAAACGTTTTTGGTTTGTGCCGTGTATCACAGATCAGCTGGGAAAATCTGTGAAAGAAAAGTAAACAACCATCTGTTTGTTTTTTTTGCGTGTGTATAACTCTGTGAATATGAACTGGGGCCAGCATGCTCAGTGAGCTGTCTCTGGATGGTTCAGGGTTAAAATAACAAACCGGCCCTCATGTCTTTGTGTGCAGGAGTGCACCCCCTTCGCTGTGATCGGCAGTAACACAGTGGTGGAGGCGCGGGGGCAGAGAGTGAGAGGGAGGCTGTACCCATGGGGGATCGTTGAAGGTGCGTTTATCCTCCTGTTATTACACTGAGTTTGAATGTAATAGCTTGGATTATTAAAATATTTGTCCTACTGCTTTTCTCAGTGGAAAACCAGTCGCACTGTGACTTTGTAAAACTGAGGAACATGCTGATTCGCTCACACATGCACGACCTTAAAGACGTGACCTGCGACGTGCACTACGAAAACTACAGAGCGCAGTGCATACAGGAGATGACCAGGTGGGTGTGAACAGGAGAGAGGGGAAATGTTTTGTAAACATCTCAGATAACTGCTGATCTTCACAGATGTTAGTATCCTACAGTTTTGCCTGAGTCACCTATTCTCCCCCCTATTATCTTTTTCTCCTCATCCTCAGTAAACTGGCTCAGGACAACCGAATGGAGAGTCCCATCCCCATCCTGCCACTGTCCACACCGGATGTAGAGACTGAGAAACTTATCAAGCTAAAAGATGAGGAGGTATGAAGCCACTTCATGTTTTGATTTCTGATCGAATATGTTTTTTTTCATTAATTTTTCCTAGAAGGGTATAAATATAAAAAAAGAAAGATTAAACAAATGCGAAAATAACATTTAGGTATAGCATTTACATAAGTACAAAACCCTCTGGGGATTCTGTTATATTTTTTGAGTGCTATAATGTGGATGTGGGACTAAAATCCAACTTTTCATCATCAATATCGTGAAGGAAAACAGTGATTACTTTCTTAGTCCTAGAGTCTGTAATATTTTGTCTTTTTTCCCATTAAATGAACACTAGCATTACATGCAGGAGGTATTAATGAGCGTTTCTCTCTGTGTGCAGCTGAAGAGGATGCAGGAAATGCTGAATAAGATGCAGCAGCAGATGCACGACAAAGAGCAGTGATGTCAGTCTGTGCTGCAGCGCCACCTGCTGTTTCTCCCCTGAACCACAGTGAGACCTGCAGACTTTGAACATGGAAATCTCGTGTTATTGGCAGCTCCGGCTGTACGTTTATCCTCAGTTTGGTGCTTTGTATAGTTTGTCTGCCTGGACGGTTGTTTGTCAGAGGGCGTTTTTTGTCTCTGAAACTCTCCGTTTGTCCACCTTGAGCCTCTTGCTGTGGTTTAACAGTCTTAACATACAGTATATAATATAATTGCGTAATTTAAATTACTACTCTCTGTATCTAATTTATAAATGCAATGCTAAACTTTTTGGATATTTTGTCAGGGTATGATGTTTTGTAAAGAAATGTAGGTTGTTGGTGATGTTAACATTTGATGGATATTGTTTTTACTGTGTGTGTGTGTGTGTGTGTGTGTGTGTGTGTGTGTGTGTGTGTGTGTGTGTGTGTGTGTGTGTGTGTGTGTGTGTGTGTGTGTGTGTGTGTGTGTGTGTGTGTGTGTGTGTGTGTGTGTGTGTGTGTGTGTGTGTGTGTGTGTGTGTGTGTGTGTGTGTGTGTGTGTGTGTGTGTGTGTTGCATTTCATGATATTTCCTCCAGTCGTCCGTCCATATAACTCCCTTTTAACCACGTTGGGTCTTATTCTTTTTTTTTTTAAATCCAACTTTTGCTCTTGTTATTTTGCTCTCTGATCCCCATAAATGTCTTTCCTGTGACATTTATCACATATGGCAAGTCAACATATCTTTGACTGAAAATGCACTTATTGCCAGTAGCTATCTGTGAATGGAGGATAAAGCCTTTGACATAATGAGAGGGTCGGTGCAGTTCAGGGTGCATGTGCAAGCATGTTGCCATTACTCATATCCGCTAAAGGCTGTGGGCATATTTCTCCTGCTTTATAGCCGATGCTTGTATTAAAATACATAAGTATGCTTTGTTGCCGTTATGGTAAAAATAGACCAATAATAACATAAAATGATAAAGAGGAGCAGCTGCTGTTTGTGCTTCTGTTTAAAATCTCTCTGATCGAAAGTGAGTTGATGCATTCTGCTAGTGAAGATGTGTATCCTATGTGCGAGTGTTTTTGTGCGAGTGTGTGTGCGTGTGTGTGTGTATGTGCTGATGCTGAGAAACAGTACATATTTTGCCTGAAGGCTGTAAGCTCAGCCTGTGCCCCATTTATAAAAGTGTGACAAATAAACTTTAGTTTCTCGTCAATCTGCATCGTTTGTCTGATCATTACAGCGTGAGCTCGACATCCTCCGTCACTTCCGCCTGTCAGTCTGAGCTCAGAGCTGCAGCATTATCTGCTGATTCATGTTTATCTCCTGCAGCCATTCTTCCTCTGCTCTGCACATCATCTGCTGCCTGCCAGTCAGAGCAGAACAGAAACTGCATTTTCCTTTACAGGGACTTTGACTATATTACAAAGTAAAAATGTACAAGTCAAATTTCTGAATTCAAACTTAACTAAAAATAACAAGGAGGTCAGGTTTGTAACAACATGGATAACATTGTAATGTATCTGTTATGTGTTTTATTAATCTGAATCTTAAAAGTACCTTGTATTTTTTAATAAATGCAGTGCACTAAAAATTACAACATTTGAATATGGTACCCTGAATAGTAGGGTTTAATAAGTATAAGGTGAAAATGAAAATATCCAAGTATTCTGCTATCACTGGTAATTATCCATTGTTAAGACCATGCTGTCTTACAATGTCTTAAATACACAGCTTTTTACAGGTTATTAAATTACTGATAATATTAAGCAATCATTATAACAGTTGTTTAGCTTGAAGCTGACCTGCTGACTAAAAACTCTTTATTAATTGTAGGAAACTTTAAATTGAACAATCACTCGATTTTACCAAACGTGTTTTCCAGTGAACTTCCTAATTCGTTAAAAAATAAAAACCGCTAAGATAAAGAGTCGTTGGAGATACTTCCCATGTCCTATTAGACGTCTTTGTGCGTGTCATATTTGTCAGAGGTCTTTATCAGTTGGTGGCAGCTGGCTGTAAAACATAGCGCGCACACACACACACACACACACACACACACACACACACACACACACACTCTCAGCCTCAGTCCACTCCTGAAGACACGCAGCACTGAAGGTAAATGACTCTCCTAAGACATTTTAGTTCTGTATCTTTCTTAACATTATTGATGCTAAACAATTGTTTCCTGGCTCAATTTAATGTAACCTTATCTCTGATGCAAAGGACCATATCAGTATATCAAAAATAAAATATGGTAATTAAAAAAAGCTGTCAAGTCCAGTTTGGCAGAACTACTGTTTTAAAGGAGTGGAAAGAGAATGTAAAAGATTAGTTTAAAAAATGTATCCCACCTACATCTACACACGGTGTCAGTGCTTTATGCCCTATCTGTTTATCAAGGGCTCTCACATGGGGTCTCGGTCACAGACTGGAATGTCCTGACCTCAGGGTTGAGATTTCAATTAAGAGAAGAAACAATGAGTTAGATACAAATACATCTGAAGGCATGCTTTGGGTTGTCAAATGTTCCTTGTGTATGTTATGTATTGAACCAATGATATCAACACAGTACTGCGTTTCAGTAAATTGTATAATGTTGGTGTTCTGATCTGAGAGAATATATGGCAGAAAAACAATTAAAAAACCTTCACCTTCACACAACGCCACAAAGTACATCCTCAGAACCACAGAGCTGACATACAATTAAGAGCTTTAAGTTTCATAATGATTGGATCGACTGAAGAACACCTTCATTGTTTTTCTCATCATTTTAGATTCAAACAGCTCTTGAACTAAATAATAAACATCAATAAAACAGTGTTCAATAACACTACAAAGAAATATTAATAAGTACATGAATGTAATTTATCTGTGTTTAGATAAAACTGTTCCAATGTCAAGTCATTACCTTGACTGTACATTTGCCTACTTTTACCTTAATTGATATGCCAGTCAGCAGTGCGGAATATTAAAGTTGAGTTTTTTGCAAACTTAATATAGCTAATGGTTGGTACGTTGATGTGTGGCTAAACCTGCATATTCCCTCCAGTGACAGCTGAATTATCACTTCTTCTTTTTCAAAAGATAGATAACATACAGTCAAGAGCAGACCGTGTGCCGATTGTAGGAATAGTTTCTGTCATTTAAGTGTTCCTACAGATTAACAAGAGGTACAACAAGCATTTGCTGCTTCTTTCTTTTCCTTTTTGTTGAATGTAAAACATAAAATGAATCCAAGTTACCAGTATTTGAATAATTACCCTTTCCTCAAGTAAATGCATCCCACTGTGGTGGAAAACTGCATTCAAAGTTTTCAAGTAAAATGACCCACTCCTTATGCAAAAGGATCCAAAATGTGGTTTATTATTTAACTGCTGCCTAGCTTATAATGTTCTTCCCCTTGGGTCAAAGTATTATCTTGTCCTTACTGATGATAATGATTTTTTGTTGATAATATTTTGAATTACAAATATAACTGCAAAGTAACCGATGTTGTCATATTAACATTATGAAGTCAAAAGTACAGTATTTGCCTGCAAAAAGTAGTCAAAGCAGGAAGTAGCATGGGTCAGAAATACTCAAGTCTCAAATGTTCACTTAGGTACACATGAATCTTTGTTCTCTTCTCTCCAGTGATTGGTACCATGAAGGGGCTTCTGCTCCTGTGTCTGCTCCCCTTGTTGGGAGGTCAAAGGTCATCCGCCTGCCCTCACCTTTGCTCCTGCCATGGTGGTCAGGTGGATTGCAGCAGCAGGTCTCTCACCTCTTCCTCGCTGCCCACCAGTTTCCCTGCAGGGACCACCTCCCTCTCCCTCCACAACAACCGGCTGACCCACCTCCCTAACGGGCTCCTGGAGGATTTGACCTCTCTCCGCTCCATCTCTCTACATGGAAACCCCTGGGAGTGTGACTGTGGCGTCCTCTACCTGCGCGCCTGGCTGCTGCGTCAGCCCATCTCCCTCACGTCACATCTGGGCGTCAACTGCAGCTCCCCCCCCGGCCTGAGGGGGCGGCTGGTGGTGTATTTAACGGAGAAGGAGGTCCTGGAGTCCTGCCACTACTGGTACTGCGACCTGGCTCTGGCCTCGCAGGTGTGTCTGTTTGTGTTTGTGGTGGTGCAGGCGGCTCTGCTCGTGGCTCTCATCGTGTTTCTGAGGAGGTTCGAGAGGCTCTTCAAAGAGGCGAGGAGAGCTTCACATTTGGGGAGGGTCTGAGGGATAACATCTACGGGTCCTTAAAGGACGGCAGCATCTGACCTGCTGCTGTGGTTTGTTAGATCCAAAGTAATGAAGGATATCGGTTTATTTATTCAAACACTGGAAAGAATATGTATTTAGTGTTTTGGTTTTTCAGAATCCAAATTTAATTTGTGCACAGGCAGGCAAATGAATAAATGAATGGGCCCACAGGGCTCAGACCCAGGGGCCAACATTGTCAGGGGCCCCTATTGACTTCATATATAAAATGTAATTTAAAGAGACATGTACAAACCAGGAAGAAACTCAAAATGACCACAAAGAGACATAAAATGAATACAAAGAGTACAAAATTACCATAAAGAGATGCAAAACAACCACAGACAGAAGATATCTTCAAAAAAGAGACACAAAACTACAAAAAGAGGATAAACAACTTTAAAGTCTGGGTGTTTTGCTATTATGTTGGGGAGGTGGTGGAGTTTTCTGCATGTCTGTGCAAAGGGGCCCATTGTGTCCAAATCTGTGCAAGCAAATTACAAATTAAAAGAAAACCTGTGTAGTGAATCATAACAATTGCAGATGCTTCCAAACAAGCCGAAGAAAAAGTGGAAGGGTATTTAGCTCTGTAACTGGAGATTCGTGAACACCTGACTACTACACTTTATTTATTTTTTCTTAAATTTGTCAACCATCTGTGTATCCATAGACCATCCATCCTATACCACTGTAGAAATAGTCTATAAAAAGAACGATGTAAATTGATCTGCACTAAAGTTCGACCAATACTGGATTTTTGAGGATGAATGTTGTTATTTGAGTTTGAAATGGGCTTCTGTATTGGATGATATTATTTTTAAACATTTTACGTTTTTTGATTAGAGTCCTGAAATATGGGTATTAAACTGTTGTGACTATTAAATGTACTGAAAAAGACATTTAAGTTGTCAAATAAACTTGCCAGTAGGCCTACTGTCTGGTGGACATACTACACATCAAATCTTGAAGTTGCAATTCTTTGTAATTTGTCAGTTCACTATTAATGTTGATTAAAGTAATAAAGCAATTGGTTGAACTGTGGTGCACAGTTGTACTCATCAAACATGCTTACAATGTGTATTTATTGATATTATAAATTGGTAAATGAAGAAACTCCAGTTTTCTATCTTAGGTCCAATGTTCTATTTGTACAGGCTTATATGGTTGGAAAACAGATATATTAAAAAAGTTTCTTTGCCACACGAGTTTCCTATTTTTGAGGTTTGATCATGTGATATAAAATAAAAAATTCAACTGACGACTGAAAAAAAGTGCTATGTTGGAAATTGACTACTCCATGAATTGTTTGTTATGTCTGACATTCGCATTATGTTTTTCTAAATGCATTATAATTTCATAAAACATATTTGGGTCATCAAGAATTGGAGGACATTTTCATCAATGAAATATAAAATAATCCATGCCCAAAATGCTAAAACATGAACTTGTTTTGCTAGATAAACTTGTAGACATCTAAAATATCAAATACACCAAACAAAATGGCGTTTTTCTCTTGACCCTCCTTGGTGACCAAATTGCATATTTATTGTCAAATACGACATTTAAATAAAATTATTGGATTATAAATATTGATGCATTTATGTGCTCTCATATACCCACTGTACCTCCGCCCCGGTAGGTGGCAGCACACAGTGAGGAAGAGGAGAGGAAGAGGCGAGCTTTCACCGCATATGAACGATATGAACCGCACAACACAACAGCGCCACTTTTGAGCGCTCGTCCACATCTCTAACAATAACATAAGTTGTCAGACAGTATTCAAGAACAAACGAGGGAGCAGTGCCACAAAGACAGAGCCTTCAGGTATATGTGGAAGGTATGTCTTAATGTTTATAAATGTTATTTAATAGTGCATGAAAGTGCAGCTAAAGACTGTTTACGGCTTGTTAGTTACCGCCTGACACTTTCCTTCACTACCAACGGTTGCTAGGAGCTTACTTGCTAACGCCACTTGTCTCTGGTTGTCTGCACTCTAAATTCCCACTTTGTTTAATTACTACTAATTACAAGTATAAAAGTAGTGGCATATACTTACTACTAGCCAACCAAACCATCTCTTAGTGTTTACTGTTAGGTCTAACATTCATGTTCAGATGTTACACTGAAGTCTGTCATCTTTAACGGGAGGTCAGCTGTGGACATTGGTGGTAAAAGTACTCAGATTTGTTTCTTAAGTAAGTAGCATTACTTCATTTTAAAACTACTCCGTTACAATTCAACGTTTTACAATCAAAAATATTACTCAAGTAATAGTATAAAAGTAATGGCATCAAAATATACTCAAGTGCTGCCAACATTTGTACTCGTTACTTCTAGTGGCCCATTTCAGAATCATATATTAAATTACAGATTATTATTATTGATGCATTAATGTCTTTATAACAACTCGTAAATGTAGAGCAAATTTAATTGACTTTGTGTACTGCTGCTGGATATCCTAACAGTTAGGGTATCCAGCAGCAATAATAAACAAACATAAAGGTATATTAATAATATAAGTTAGGATCTAACTTATATTAATATATCTATGTTTGTTTATGAGTTGATTTGTATTCACTTATAGTAATAGTAACTAAAGCTGTCAAATACATTTTATGGAGAAAAAAGTACAACATTGGCTTTCAAAATGTAGTGGAGTGCAAGTATAAATTAGCATAAAATGGGAATCCTCAAGTAGAGTACAAGTTCTTCAGAATTGTACTTAAGCACAGTACCTGAGTAAATGTACCTCATTACATCCCACCACTGGCTATTGAGGAAATGTTAATTGACTGCATATATATTGGTATTGACTCTGAACTACTCCCAATATGTATCCCTACTACTTGTTTAGTTAACACTTATCAAATGTAGTTACCCTGCTTATATGGGGTCACCCTTTTTGGTGTCAGATATCAGAATATGTACTAATGTGACTTTAAAAAACATTATACTGTAGTCATTTCTAATCAAGTTTTAATAGTAGTAAAAGTAGACACAATCTCATGGCATTATTAACCTTGAATTATTCTGACTGTTGAAACGCTTTTTAATTTCTTTCAAAAATATATTTATTCCAGGTCCAAGATGGTTCAAGACAGTGCTCATATTCGGGGGCGGGGGGGCCAGGACTTTTTGGCCTACTATGACTCTGCCTGTGCCAGACAGGAGTCAGTCCCTCTCCCTGCTGTCAAAATGAACCTGGGCAAAGGAATACTGGACTTTAATGGAGACCGGGTCAGACTCACTGACTGGCCCCCGATTTTAAACTCTATTTGCATCAACAAACACTTACATCACATTGCAATAAGTAGCACATACCAAGCTAGTCTGGCTTCTGGAGATGCAGGTAAGGCAAACATTAAACCTGGCGCACCAAGTGATAGTGGGAATAACTGCTGTTTTGACCTCTTAATTAATCATGTTTTTCAAATATAGTTTATTTCAAAACTTGAATGTCCAATTTTGTAAATGAACATTAATCATATCACCACCAATTCCAGACAAAAGGTTCTATAAGTCTTGTCTCAGGAAGAGGATCCCAGCCTTTCGCTCTAAGGACATGACATTTAAACTGTGCAAGGCCCTGAGAGAGTGTCTGACTGTCTCTCCTAACCTGAAGACTCTGCAGCTTAATGGACTTCCGCTGAGAGAAAGGGACCTCATTACATTGACAAAGGTAAATATATGATTTGAAGTGCAAAGAGTAAAGTTTCAACCATTTAATTGTTGATGTTTCACTTATACAGAGAGACAGGCACTAAGCAAATTTGCAATCTTTATTAACTTTTTTTCTTCACTGTCAAATACTCTGTGTTGAAATATAACCCTGTTTACCGTAATTGGTGGTGACTACTGATATCTAGGATGAGAAAACCTAACATATTGATGTGCATGACAGAAAACCTGAATATTGATAGAAGCTCTGTTTAGGAGTGACATTTGGAAGAATAATGAGACAATTATATTCTCTTCCAGGGTTTTGCAAAAAGTGTTTCTTTGGAAAACCTATCTCTGGCTAACTGTCCAATCTCTGACAAAGGCTTAGAGGGTTTGTATATTCAAAGTATTATTTATTATTCATAATTCCTTCACTAGACCGTGAAGTATGTGACCATGATGTATTTGTAACTTACATTTTCCTCTGTTTCAGTTATTTGCCAAAGTGTGAAGTATTCTACAAGCATCAGGACGGTAGACTTTACAGGATGTAATCTCACCTGGAGAGGGGCAGAGCATATGGCCAACATCATCAAGGTGCAACATCTCACATTTGAGACGTTACTGGCAAACTATATTGAATGTGTTCTATCTTCTGTAGTCATTATTAAATAATTGTAAACCCCAGACCCTTCTAAAAATGTACCTGTATTTAAAAAGAGAATTGTATATGAATACAATTGTTCCTCCCAGCATCAGGGAATGCAGAGGCATGGTACTGCATGGGCAGAGTCTCTGAGGTATCGTCATCCTCAGTTTGAGGGTATGGGAGGTCTGCGCCGTGTCACACTGAACTGTAACACCTTGATCGGGGACCGGGGCGCTGCTGCTCTTGCTCATGAACTGGCAGAGGACCTCTGGGTTAAAGGTGAGTAGGTGTGTGGGTCTGACAGAATAACAATGAGACAAAGCAAAGCGTGTTTTGTTGCTGTTTTGGCAGGCATTGTGCTCACGTTCGATGTTTGATGTTTTGTGATTGGTTGAACAGCTGTTGACCTACAGAGGTGTGGTCTGTCCAACGAAGGGGCTCGCCGTTTGCTGGAAGCCTTGAAAACAAATTCTGCCCTTTGTGTGCTGGACATCCGTAGCAACCCTTTAATTGGTAAGAAGCTTCCTCAATCAAACTTATACGATTTTCTAGATGTTTTTCACACGGGAGAAAACTTTGGACAATATAATAAATTATAGGTATATCTTTTTCACACAGTACGTGTAATAAGAATTTTGGCCTCTAGATGAAGCTAGTGCTCTGTTGGATGTTTATTTAGCTGCGTCCCAACCAAGTATGAAGTATGCAGTGTTTCCATAGCAAAAAATGCAATAGCTTCTCTAAAATAATATAATTAGTTAGTACTATAATTGTTATCCAATCTGAAAGCACAACTGAAAACTAAAAATCATAAATCTTTGGAGAAATATTTCTCCTTAATGAATGTTTTGTTTTTTCACAGACAAGGTTCTAATTAAAACAGTTCTAGAGAAAGTACTGATGAATGCTGACGGACAGTCTTCAGAGGTGAGTGTCTCAGCTAATGTCTTTATTCAGGGTCTTAATGAATGAGTGGTGTTGCATGCTTGCTTGTTTCAAATATTTGTATTGAGAAGAAGCATACAAGTGTAAGCAATAGTACAGACTTCTTTGGGGTGGAAATAATGCTTCCCTTTTTCAACATAGAAGACAAACATAACAGCCAACAAGAAATAATAAAGAAAAAACATAGCATGACAGGAATACCATACTTAATGACATACATAGTCATAGTGGGAAAGAACATACAAAATAGTATATATAATACAAATAAATAAATAAACGTGCAGATGAGCCCAGACTACCCCCCCCCACCCTTCCCTCCCCGAGCAGTGCCACCCAAGCCATTAAAAAAAAATTGTTTGTGCAATGCATCTCAGCCGACCGTCCCGCTTATAAATGAAACCATTGGACCCCACATCCTTTCAAATTCCCCCAGTCTATCTTTTAAGATATATCAAATTCTTTCCAAATGCAGAGTGCATGCTTGCTTCTTCTTTGTTGCGAAGTTGTGGTCATGGCTTGTATTCTCCTCATGTTGTACTACAGTACTGCTGGATCAAGCCTGCAGCCTCAGAGCCACAGACAGTGTCTGCTCCAAAGAGGAGAGCTGTACCCGGCACAGCCAGGGGGAAAACTACATTTAGGATAGGTAAATGAATACATTGCACAACCTTCAGTGTTGGATCTCTTTTGTTGTGTTTGAGATGCCTTCTTTATTTCATACTTACCTGTTTTCTTTGTTACCTTTTGGCTTTAAAGTCATCTGGAGACATGGTATGAACTTCTTCCTCTTCTATCTTTGTTCTGCAATTAAAAAAAGTGTTGATATGGTTTGGATGTCCTTGAAAAAAAGGTTTTAACAACAAGTCTACCTTTTATATAGATGGGATAATTATGTAGTTCCTTGGTAGAAAGTCAACTATTTTGATTCCCCTTGCCGTGAATACCCTCTCAAAAGCTAAAGATGTATGTATGTGCCATATTTCTGTCTCAATAACTGATAGATATACAACAAATGTTTTCAACTGGACTCATTAGCCTTTCTTCTCTTTTGCTTGTGATGTTTATAACCATCCCTGTGTGGCTTAAAGCTCTCCCTTCATGAATGTCCAGTTCTTAACAGGGCTGTCTTTCTGGTGCAGCCCCTCGTAAAGGACCATCTCCCAGAGGACGGAGTTCAGACGCTGCTCCGACCCAGAAGCCTTATTCCCGCTCCGAGTGTGTACCTTGGCGAGCTGCTGCACGAGCTGAACGCCAGAGGTGAGGAGATGTTGGCAAACCAATCAACACTCTTGCATCATTTTTAAATGAAACTGTTTTGGCTTCATTCTCTCAACATGTCACCATGTGATGGCGCTCTACACTAATATTCTGTTTGATGCCTTTGTTGCAGAGGTTTTCCTCCTGGAGTTTGTGTGATGGATCAAAGCTTTGAGGTGAGTTTTCTTTTGTTTATATACAGTGTATAACTGTAGAAGCTACAAAACAAATTCAAATGTATCTTAATAACCGTGTAAAGCATACAGCAGACAAATAGTTTTTTCAACTTAATGGTTTATCATTAGGGTGCAGCTACCGTGAAGGTTACTATGGAGACGGATTCAGAGGCAGATGACTATGAGGAAGTGGAAGATGAAGAAGTAGTCGTGGAAGTGGAGCAGAGACCATCTTCTCCTCATCTCCAGGACAGGATCACTGAGCGGAAGTTTAACCATTTACAGGTTGGTCACATCAGGCTAACAAACAGCTTGGATGTTTTTGGAGCTTTTAAAAGTTTTGTATGTAAGACAAGTGCTAATCTTTTGGACTTACTATGAAGCACTGGGAACATGCTGTATATCCGTGTGTGTTTTACGCCCTGCAGATGGAGCTAAAAGAGTGTCGTCTGAGGCTGGCAGAGGAGCGCAGAGCCAGACTGAGAGCCGAGTCAAGGCTCATGGAGGTAATGATGATCTCAGAATAATAACATATGATTTTCTCCCCTATTTATTTTTCTTCAGTTTTCCTCTTTTGCAACTGGAATCTTGTCTGTGCCGAGCTTTCTGCTATCACATAGCAGGATTTAGACTCCACACTAGCATTATATAGTTTAGGTGTTGGTCAGCCACACTGAAGCAGCCCTTGGATAATTATGGTCGTTTAGCTTTAAAGTGTTTATTGTTCAGTCTGAAATGTCCTTAGATCGTAGACAACAGTAAATAAAGATTGAAATCAAATCCTCATTATAGCATCCCGTGCTGTGCTCAAGGGCCACTCAAAAGGGGACACTTACTTCTCCCAATTATGTCATGTTTGTCACGGGTCTAAGTTACAGAATTGTGTTATGTCCGTACAAGTAGTTTTGGAAATGAACCATCAAAAGACTGGCTTCCTTATACTCTTTTATTCTCTATTTCTTTCTTATTTCTGTGCAGTACGAGTTGGACAATGCCCGTCTCCGTGACAACAACCTCTCCCTCTCGGAGGCGCTGGCTGCCACCGGCTCTGCTTCAGCTCCAGCGGCCCTCAGTGCTCTGGAAGATGAGGCCGTCCTGGAGAGCATGGAGAGCTCATTCACAAAGTTCCATGCCTTCCTGGATCTCCTCAAGGATGCTGGGTCAGAACTATTTTCCATTGTTCAATTGGACATTGCCAAATTGTTTTTGGGTGTCTGTGGTTTAAAGAATTGTTATGTAACCTTGTGACTTTCAATTACATAAGATATCTGGAAATTCCGCTCTGCCATCATATGATGTTGGTTTTTGACTCATGCTGACTTGCTGAAACCCTGGGTCACAAAGGAGATTCTTGTTTTTGAAATAATTTAACTTTTATTCTCATGTTTCTTTATCAGATTTAGTTTTCATATCATTTCTTCCGGGACCATTGTTATTATCAATCAATTTATTATATTTTTAGGTAAACGTCTATTAGGTAATCGAAACCAAGGTGATCCCTTACATTTTGTAGGCCAATGGTTTAAAAACTGCCCAAAGGTCATTCATTGACAATATATTTTTTAAATGTTTCAAAACTAAAGCTTAGTAACATAGACTTAGACCTTGTGTATGTAAAAACCACATCATGTTTTGTAGATGAAGATGATCAGAAATCAAAGTGAAAAAGCCAAGTATTTTGAGAGCTTGTAAATGATGGTGCACAAGAGTAATGTGATGAAGGGATCCTGCCACATGACTGAGGGGAAGATGTTGCTCTAGTGCACACACCCCGAGTGCCAGGATATTTTTGTACACCGACTGCTTTCTGTAAATGAAGAGTTGGATCTCTGTTTGATTCTGGGATGCCCTTTCAAAAGAGTGGTCTATTTGTTCCCTTTCTTCTCTAGGAGAGTTTCATTCTGATACAATGCTTTCACTTTGAGACGTCCACTAGTTTTCATTCACTAATTTAAGCCTTTTATTATTTTCATTCAATCCTTATCTTACTATGTTTTTAATTTGTTGCTTTGATCGGTTGCATTGTCATTGTCAATGGCCATTAGCAGATTCTGTCTCATTTTTTTTACTTTGGCCATAAAGTGAATATCAGTAAAAAGGTGACAAAGCCTTACTGTGCAGCCATCTTTGTTACCTGCATGTACCTGCATCAACAGTGTACAGCTGCAATTGCTGGGTTTGCTGCATAAATAAAACGCAGTCGCTTCCACCGTACTACAACCCAAAGTGTACATTTAGTTGAACACCAGTTAGGGGACTACAATAGGATCAGATCATTGTTTTTGCAGATGAGATGTAGCAAATTATTAAATAGGTATTCAGGTATAGTTTATAGATCTTTACAAAAATAAAAATGTATGGTTTACTCCTAACGGCTCTCCCTCAACTCTCATTATAAAACAACAGGACGTTTCTTTTAAAGCAAATGAGCTCAGACAAGCCAAGTCAACCCTACCTGCTCAGCTCAAAATTGAATGTATAGAAGATACAAAAGTTAAACATCTAGTAGGATACCAGATATCTTTCTTCCAGAAATTGGTGGGCTTAACGAGTGCTACAAGATAAGGGATGAGTGAAGATTGTGCACAACTTTATGTGATACTCAGTGCGCTCGGAGTCTGCTAGTCCACTAAATTGACTAACATATCAGTGATAAGCTGATAACACTGTCTATTAAGGCTGTTTTTTAAAACATTGCTTTATGACACTTTAAAGGTCACCTATTATGCAAAATCCACTTTTTCATGTCTTTCATACATAAACATGTGTCGCCTCTGTGTAAAGAGATTCTGAAAGTTTCAGAAAATGTATTCGCTCACTTTTTGTATCCGAATATTCGGTCGTTGGCCTACTATTCGGTTTTAAATTTCGTTATTTGTTTTTGTTCTTTTTTTTGTCAGCCGCGCTGCACTGCGGCTGACAAATTGAATTTGTTGAAATCTCCAATATCAACGTAAGAGCTTGTGCCTCTTCGGGGGGTGCTAACACTTAAACATAAACTTTATCCTTTACTTTCTCATTCTTTATATGTAGATATTACTTTTCTCCGTTAATCTCCGCTCCTTTTCTCCGTCACGTTGTTTCCATAGCAACAACAACTTCTTGTCAACAGCGCTAACTCTCCTTCAAAATAAAAGCATGTCCATACAAAATAGGAAGCCAAGCCAAATGACACTTGAGACACAACTGCAACGAAAGTAACAAACACAATGCAATATCCCATTCAATTTCAAAGAACACAAATTGGGTTAGTTACATTAACAAATAACTATAAAACAACAATACTGTAGAATAACAAAATGAATGCTGTGAATAAACCGAAATACACATGTTGAAGCCTGGCTTCGCTGCTGATTACTCCCCCCCCCCCCCGCGCCGAATATTCGCTGCTGATTACTACCGAATATCCGGGGCCCGAAAAATGGTATTCGGGACAGCCCTAATTTTTTTTTATATAAAACCTGTCTGAAAATGAGCTGATCAGATTTTGGCCACGTTATGATGTCATGACGATTTTTTGGCTTGTGTAACCACTAGCCAATAACCAACCAAGGTAAGAATGGTGGAACAGGCTAATAGGTGTGCAGGTGTGCGTCATTTCCGAGGCCCCGCCTTAAATGGAGCGCGATTTCCACCAAAGATTTTGGAAATTGGTCCGTGCGCAAAACATTGTGGGGATTTTAAGACTGCGGAGGATACACATGTGCAGCCTCGAAATTTCCCGCAACGAAGGACGCCGGCCTCTGTAGAATTCCAAGCATCCTGGACATTGGAACAGTCCTTCGGCGGGACTCGATGACGTAGCATCCTTGAAATAGTGGCTCTGGAGCAGCTTTCCTCGACATTGAGAAACACCCAGAGAATCAGCACTTTTGAAACAGAGGGGATTATGGGATGCTACAATGCATGATCTGTTTGGTATTTAGAGCCAAACACTTCAGAGACATGTTTGTATATATCTGAGACCTATAACATATTGATGAAGTATAATAGGGGACCTTTAATATTCATTCATCTACTATTTGACAAATCCAATTTTATTTCAAATGTTTTAGACGTTGCAACAATAAATGTATTTTATTCGTATTAGTCATCCCAAACTAGCACTGAGTAATATTGATACTTTATCAAATGTGCTTATGTATAAAAATACACAAGTTTTTAAGGCTTGGTAATATATTGACATTAATATTGTGATATGAGACTATCATTTGTCTCTTTCTGATATCGTAATATCGCAAAGTGTAATTAGCTACTTGGCCATTATTTCCACATTACTTGTGATTCTTCAACAAGATTTTTTAGATTGTGTGAATATTTTGTCAATGCACAAATCAACCAGTCAACCTTACAGTATAATTGCAATATCAAGGTATAAGATAATACATTTAATGTTATTTGATTTGCTCTACATTTCGATCATCTCAACGTTGGTTGGTTGATGGTCCATCATACTGGACTGCATGATGACCTCAGACGTCAAAGTGAAACAGTCAAGTAGACCCTTTCTGTATTCATAAAGACTCAGAAGCTTAAAAGCACATCCTATCACTGACTCCGGGGTCAGATGTTTATCTCCATCATCTATTTATCGGATGGGCTACTTTTTGTAAACCGACTGCTTACTGCGGTCACTTTGTTGGATTTCTGTTTCGTTCTGAGATGCCCTTTAAAAACAGAAGTCCACTTGTTCTGATGCTCCATTTAGAAACATGGTGCTGTGCCCATTTTAAAAGACACTTTCATTTTGACCGGATGAGTTTCACCATGACAGAGCATAGAGCTTTCATTTATATTAGCCTTTTAGCCCCCGAATGGATGTAATATAGAAACTATTTTACTCTCCTGAAGTGTGTTCCTCTTGAGTGGGCTGTTGTGGATGTTTCCTTTTTTGTATATTGTTTTTTACTGAATGAGTGGGGTTTGAATACGCTTCATTCACCAGTGTATCGTGAAGTTATTAATAGCACGTAGCGTCTCACTGCCATTTTATTTAGCAGTTGAACACAGCAACCTATATGTAAGAAATTGTTTACTTTTTACCAGGTCAGTTTCTAAAATGACTATAGGGTGTGATTGAAATGCATGTGCGCTTTTCCTTAACTCTAATTAATTGAATCTCTTCTTTGTTTTTTTGTAGTCTCGGCCAATTAGCCTCAATGGCTGGAATTGACAAGTCAGACTTCCATCCTCCGGGGAGACCTCAGCTCTCCTCTACTTTAGGACGAGGGGAGTATGGGGACGGTCGGAAGAAGACTGATGCTCCCTCTTTGGTAAGGCATTACAAAGCAATGTATAGGAAATGTTTTCCAATTGCAAGGGAAATGTGATTGGGTTATAACTTCAGTATTGGTATTATTACATTTGTAGCTTAGGATTTTAGACCATGAATTCTATATACAGTATAGGGCAAATATGACACTTTGGTTAAAAGGATGAATCAACACCACACACTGTAAACTGAATTTTAATGTTTTCGAACCGCATGAGGTGACCTGGATTAATTTGACCTATTACAGTATATACCAAAATCATGTCAAATTTGATTATTTATATTTTTGAGACCAGTAACTTTTCTTTCAAGGTCCTCCATGAGGCGCTTGTCCTGTATCATATAGTGTTGTTATAGTTCCTAAGTTTGTCTATTTTCTAGAAGTAGCACTTTATTCCTAGCCTGCATCCCATTAATTAAGTGGTTTGTTTAATATACCACAACATCTTTCTCATCAAACATGCAATTTCTGATTTTAGGTAGACGTACGCATCTCGCCCGCTCCTCATGTCAGACTGCCTGACCGCACGGTGCCCAGATCGCCACCCTCTGTCAGGGAGTTTTTGCGTGAAGACAGGCTACGAGATGTGCTGACCTCCCATCATGCCTCTGGACCTGCAGGAGACCCTTGTGTCGGAGGGGAAGAGGAACCAGATCATTTTTCAAAGCCTGACACCCAGCAGGACTCAGGTTCTGAGCACAGTTTCCGTAGCCAAAAATCCTTCGATAAGGTTTCCTTTGGCAAAACCTTTCAGTCAGGCCATCCTAAGAGCAACAGCAACTCTCCCAGAATCAGCGGCTCCCATAGATACAGCTATGCACACAGTCACTCTCTCCATAGCAACGGCTCTCATGGTGGGCTGTCCGTAAGATCAAGTGTTAGTGACATTATCAGTGAAAAGGCAGACTGAGGGGTCAGCGAGGTCGGGTAGAAGGGGGGAGGGGAGGCTAGTGTCAGCAGGTGAGTCGGGGTCAGAGGGGAAGGTCCGGGCTCTGGGCCGCCTGGGGGGGAGTTCAGACAATGACTCTTTCTGACCCACTCATTCTGTTACTTATTTATGATGTAGAAATACTTCACATATTTTTTGTTTTTAATCTTTGGAAGAAGCAAGACCAGAGTTTGTACATCTTCAATCAGTTCTGCAAGTCAATTAAACATCTTGTTGCATTCTAGCCAAAGCACAGTTTGTTGAATATCCTACCAAATTAAAATGTGTTATTAATTGAGATGCATATTAAAAAAAAAAAAATCCAATGAATGGTTAGTAAACTGATTTGGTGGTATCTACAATTAAAAAAGTTCATTCAACAAAATGTGGGAGAAAATATTTGGGTTTTCTAAATTAAATCAAGTCACGAGTCGTTTTTGCATATCAAGTACCTCTTAATGTCATTCATGTGGGAACCCATCAAAACTCAGAGGAAAATCATCTTAAAATGCCAATTCATGGGAGCTTTCAGTAAATTAATGTGTACTATTACTTTTTTATGGCTAATTTAGAACATATCTTTTAGAGATTTTTGATAGATATTTAATAATAAAAAAGTCTTCTTATCAATTGTTAGGATATTTTGCTCTTCCCTAAAATTGAAAATGTTGAATAAACATATTTCAAATGTGTTTTTAAGCTTCTTAATTGAATAACAAACTATTTCTGTCACTAGAAAGAGGGAAATGTGTGGAATGCACCATTACACTGCATAATGTACCTGATATTGCCCCAAATTACCTGTGAATGTCACATCTTGAAGATTTTTAAATATGCCCTAAAATACCTTGTTTATGCCATAAACATGTTAAAACATTTGGACTAATATTTCTTGATGCAGAACATGCATCAAGAATGTTCTTGGTAGTAACTTTCCTCGGACACCTACCTGCTAATTATGTTCTGATATTTTCCAGACTGGTATAGAGGTTTGTAGTAAGAATATAGTTTTGGATGAAAATGTATTCGTCATTTGTTACCTCAGTCTCTCAGTTTCATGGGCACTTGAGTGCACATCAGCCAGGGTTGGACTATGTTGTCCGTGGACAATGTGTGGCGGTAGTCAGTGATGTTTAATGGCATGATAAGAAACAACTACTCAGTTATTGGACAGTTGCTATCACAAGTCACTTTTGACTGACCTATTATTGCTGTAGCAGTTTCCCCAAAAGTCAGATAAGAGTATGGTTGTGGAATTTAGGTTAGGCATTTGTGCAACAAATCATAGTCCTATACATTTTGAAAAAAGCCCACACTTTTCTCCATTTAAATCCATAAACAAAAAGCACCACTGCTGAATTTTGCTGTGCCAGCCTGGCTTGGCCTGCTATGACCACTATAGCCTATGTTCACTAATGTCTTAAATGCAACCTTATAGTGGCCTATAAAGAAAATTGCTATTTCAGTTTGTTTTGATGACCCTTCTCAATTTGTATTTCTGTTTCACAAAATCTATTAATAACAGGAACAAGGAATATTACAGAGTCAGACTGGAAGCGAAGTTAGCTTTATAACAAAAGTAAAAGCATGATGACCAAACCGAACATATGAGCTGCTGGACAGGAGCCAACACTGAGTCACTGGGTGCTGAAACCCCAGCGTGTGGTATGTTCTCTGCATTGTAGCATCAAGTGAAGTTCCTCCTTTACATTTCTTGAACCTTGTGTGAGTAATAAATGACTCTTGACACTTTTAGATCTGTGTGATGAGTGATCTGCTTTGGAAAAACCTTTAATGGGCGAAAAACAGCTCATGATTTAAATACAGAATGATGTCAATTAATAGCTTAAAGACTATGAGGGTGCAGAGCAAGGGCTTTAATACTCTCCTGCAGAAAACAATGGGCAGTCATGCCACACAATGTTGATAGTACTACGCACAATCCGCTGTATGAATGAGTGTTTCACTATCAATGTACTGAAGCCGCTTCGATAAGGGAATCATGAAAGATCTTCCGATTCTTTCGGTGTCCTAGAAAATGTTTGTGGTTATCATTTCAGGACACAGTCCCCGACTATACTTTGCACTTTTAATCTCAACACTGCGAGAACAGAGTAAAGGGTTAGAGGAAACAGTGTGAAAACTTCTGTAATGGTTTATGATCTCTGCCATCACTATAGTTGCTCCTCAGATATGGAAAGAACAATAGCAGGGATAACAGAGAGCAGTGTGTGAGAAGGCAAGCAAAAGGGGACAGAGATGAAAACAAACCCAAATGGAGATGATTTGATAAAGCTGTCACAACAAAAACACAACACCGAAACTGACACACTGCCAAATATTTCAGAGACATAATCGTAAGCCTTTGTTTTGAATACATACCAATCCTTTTTCCATCTGGTCCGGCAAAAGATTTCCTCCAAGATCAACATCTCCACTGAGAGAAAATGACAGTCATTACGCATTCCTGTTGACCAAAGTGACAAACAAAAAGGGCATTCACACTTCATAAGTTCAACAGGTAAATGTCACATGAAAGAAAAACAAATATCTGATGTGAAAAATAACACAAAAATATAACTTTTGTAGGAATATTCAAATATGAGTTATATTAGCATGCAGTTACTGTGTGTTATAAAAGAGGCCTGAATAATTTGATCAGTATGTGATGTCCAATGGCGCCAAATAATAAGGACAATGAACTGCATTGGCGTTTATTCAAATAAACAGATATAGATCCCTCACACATGAAAGTAGTGTTGAAACATAAAATCAACAAAATAAATAGTCACATGCAGTAAAAGAGGAGATGTTTGTTTATGTAAATTCAAGTGCAGCAAGGAGCACCCAATGCTCAATACACCTAAAAATATTACAATCGCATCTTTTAAAATAGAGCCAACTGACAACCACACACTTATAAGTAATTAAATACAGAAAAAACACACGGTAAGAAATGGTAAAGAATCAAACATATTCAAATATACTTATATGGACAAAATTGTCAAGTCACCAGTGTCCAACCTCAACATCAGTGTGTATCTAATCAGAAGTGTGTGCCCTTTGAAATGTAAAGATAAAAAAGATAGTATCTTATTAAGAAGAGCATCATTGATGCAGATTTAAAGAGAAACCCTACCCTGTATTTTGATAAATAATGTAATGATGTTTCTCATTAGATGTTTAATTCACATTTTAATCTGCAGTCTGTAAACAGAGTCCTTGTTTTAATACAAGACGCTCAATTTTATTTATGTTGATGAGTCAGCAACTGGCAATATTCTGTTATGGATTGCTTTGTTTTATTGAAGGATGAATCATTAGATAGGATGCATCACTATCACTCACTTGATCCAAATATCAGAGTGTATCAGGATAAAGGGTAGGGCAATTAATATTATATAACACGCTGCAGGCCATCCCATGGTTGACCTGGTACAGAGTAAACCTGAGGAGAGTTATCTATCAATCTCACCTCCCTGACACACTGTGTGCTCTCAGCAAAGGCAAATAATGACGAAATGTGACTGCTGACGCATATTGTTTTTTGCACAAACTGTCCATTTTGGCCTGTTTAAACAAAAGGGTGGATGTAAAAAAATAAAACGGTCTCTAAGAAGGGAGACTGACAAAATGGACTGACAAAATGTCCTGGCTTGTGGACATTTTGGTTTATTTTCTTGTGCTTGAAACAACAATCAAGGAGATCTGATAAGCAACCATTTTTATAACTTACACTTTACCTATTTACCACTTATGTTGTCTATTCAAGTTAATGTAAAACATTACAAACTGTAGATGAACTTGTTTAGGTAAAATAAAAAGTGCACTGAGTGTTGTACAGTCTAGCTTGATATAAACAATTTATACAAAGGTAAAGTTTCAGTATTTATAGTACAGAATAGTTTTACAGAGAACTGGAGCTTTGCATGTTCACTCCCGTCTTCAATTGTGCCTTATCTTTCAAATTCATTCACTTATACTTACAGGCTAAGTCAGTTAATACACTTGTTTGCTTGCCAAGGAGATACAAATTGGAACAGACATCAGCTGAATAGCTAGTTATTGAAAATTGTTATCAATGCTCCAATAACATAATCTACTTATTGGTCAAGTTAATCATCAATCAATATTAACCTTGTATCAAAGTACAGAGGCCGGCGCTTGCATTAGTTTGCTTGCCGGCTGAAACCAGACAGCTTATCTCTTGACAATTCACTGCAATTTCCACATTACTCTAATATACTTTCATTGTCTATTAATCAACCATTAGGGGTTGCTAGGGCAAATATTTACTATATCAGTAAGAGGCACTTAAACAAATACATGTAAATGTTTACACCCAGCATCCGACAGCAAAAGGCACACATGTATCATCAGCTGTTATTTTGGCTTTTGACAGTTTTCTCCAGGTGTACCAAACAAGCTCTTTGCATACAGACACATAACTTATTACACAAACAGAAAAAAATGAGGACAACACAAAGTGCAGTTCTATGAAAGTGTAATGGTTTTATTGCGCTACAGTTATGGCCAGATTTATCTTTTACTGAATCACAGAAATCATTCATGCATTTGACGGTGCTAGGAGAGGTGCTATGCTGCAAAAATTACACACTATATAAATACAGCTACAAGTAAAATATGCCAAAATCCTGAGAAAAGGTATGAGCTTTATGTGAACATATCGTCTAATAATACAAGACTTGTTTAAAACTTAAGGATGAATACATTAAGGAGTAACACGGAAGCTCGCTGATTAAAAAACTCTCTTCCCCGCAAATAAATTACAACCATCGCACTTTTAAAAACAACACAACTCTAAAGCTTTACATTTCTTTTTACCAAATGCAAACAAAACAAAAAAATGGGTACTTTGAGATTTGCAACAGGTGTTAAGACAATTTTGAGTGGTATAAATTGACAGTAATACAGCTATAAAAGTGCTCCATCGATAACAAAACTGTTGATTGCAGAAAACGTTTTTTTTTCTTCAGAGATAAAAATTAAACACTATAAAGCAATATTTCCCCCCTCTTTGAAAAGCTAAAGCTCTACTCTTAGACTATGGGCCATAACTTTACAAAAGTGTGGTTACACAGGTCGTGGATGAACAGGAATGTTGTTATTGGAAAAGGGTCTCCTCAGGCCCAGCAAACAAAAGGCAGATTCAATCCATGTCCAAGCCTATTCATGCATTCGTCCTGTGCTCATCAGTATTTGCCAAGCTCACACTGGGCAGCGATAAAGCCATTCTAATTACTGGGTTGTCCTTTTGAACCAGCCCGCTCCTGATTTTTAAATGGGTTGTTTAGTCATAGTAGGTCCACATTTAGCTTCCCCAGCAGTTTTTCCTTGAAACAATTTCACAACATTGTCATTTTAAATGCGTGTGTCTTCATCATCAGGGAGGGACCATTAGTTGTTCTCTTGTGAAACTGTGGTCTCCTGGAAAAAAGGGCAGAAACTAGTTAGACTAGGGTCAGGTCATTAGTTACTGAATAACAGTAATACATAGACTCACAAGTACTAAACTAAGCAAAAACAGAACTATTTGAACTCAGTTTACACCATTAGACTTAAGATTTCAAAATTAATTACAGCACAATTGGTCATGAATCCGAAAAAAACAAAACCTCAGCCCACAACCAGAGTTGAGAGCGAGAGGCGTGGAGCGAGTTAAGTTCGTTGTGTGCTAACACTTACGTACTTCTACTATCTTATCTCCTCTGTTTGGTGTTGCAATCTAATGCAGAAACTTAACAGTGTTATGGTCAAGGTATGCTTATACAACTTGTGGATTTCAGATGAGACCACAGTTGTGGCAGGGGAACCAAAAGCAGGCAGAGGTCCTATTCTTTAGGTGCTATTGTTTTACGTCTTTGTGCTGTTTTCATTTGCATGCAATTTTCAATTAATAACATTTCTTCTTAACATAAGCATCATTTTTGTTGAAACTGCAGCAACTGGAACACATTTAATGTATATGTAATGGAAACTTCCTATTAAAACCCTGAATCTTCAAAGGGTGCTGCTGTGATTTTCTGCAAACTAAGCTTAATGAGAGTAGCAAGACCGTATAAAAACGTCCCACTTCCTGCTCTTGAGGCAGGGAGGTGAGGAAGTTCAATTAACTGTCTGCACTGATCCTGTTTGTGGTGGCAATATGTGGTAACTTAACAAAAAAAAGACTTTATTACCGGGTTAGGGTCGAGAGATTGTACATTAATGCAATCATCTATAGCACATGTGCATTAAGTATTTTATTTAGTTTGTATAAATTAATCTTTGTCTCTCTCTGTCCAGCTGTTGCTAACATCTAAAGCTATATATTTAGGCTGTTAGTGTTTGGCATGCAATGCTGTGATTAAAAATGTGTCAACAAGTCACATATTTAACTTCCCACATTAAGAGTCTCATAACTTCCACTTACAGAATTTACTTTGCAAAATGTAGGAATCCAAAGACCAAAACATCAACACACAACTTTTTAGTTACTTTAAATGTAAATAGTGATAAAAAGTTGCTTACAAATGGAGTTCTCTCCCCGTTTTTGCTCCAGAAGGTCATCTTGGCGATGTTCGTGTGCCCCGTCCGCTGGTCGAAGGTCTGGCAGGCCTGGAACGGGGGACAGTACAGGTGCAAACTGGCAGCGCACTCTGTGTGGCTGCCATTTTCCACACGATGCAGGCCAATGGAGTCTAAAATATGCACAAACACACACACGATTTAAAAACATTTAGACCACTGGAATG